ATGTTGGCTGCTGTTGATGAGATCATTCCATTCTAGGTGTTCCACCACTCTTCTGATAATCTTCTCCATGACTTTTTCATACTATAGGTTTGTGACACAGGATTTCCCGTCCCTGAAACCATGTTGGCTGCTGTTGATGAGATCATTCCATTCTAGGTGTTCCACCACTCTTCTGATAATCTTCTCCATGACTTTGCATACTATACATGTCAGTGACACTTGTCTGTAGTTTAGTGCTTCATGTCTGTCTCCTTTTTTAAAGATTGGGACTACTACATTTGCTGTCTTCCATGCCTCAGGCTGTGTGTGTGCGTGTGTGTGTGTGTGTGTGTGTGTGTGTGTGTGTGTGTGTGTGTGTGTGTGTGTGTGTGTGTGTGTGTGTGTGTGTGTGTGTGTGTGTGTGTGTGTGCGCGCGCGCGCGAGTGCGTGCGTGCGTGCGTGTATTCAGCTTGCCCCTCACTTTAAACCTCAATAATATTATTTTATTCTCACAGATTAAGCTCCTGAACACAAATTAAGCTTTTAAATCTGAAGTATTTTAAAGTGCTTCATAATACCACTAATTAACAGGATTAATTTCCCGGGAACATAATGAGGTGATTAACATCGTCACCTGCATTGTGTCATTATAACACGCTAATCTCATTCCTTCTCTTTCCCCTTCTCTTGCCAACATATTAACAAGCACAAATAATATCATATAAGATGAGGATGACAAAGAATGATCCGAGAAGCAAATGTCTGACAGCTTAAGTTAGACTGATCAAGGAGCAGTTTCTTACAAGCTACAACAATACAGATTCTTGCAAGCTACAGTTACAACACTACAGTTTTTACAAGCTACAGCTACAACAATACGGTTTTTACAAGCTACACTTGTATAAAAGCAATAAAAGGCACACATGGCAGTCTTCTATTAATTCTGAATTGCAGTCTTCACCTCTGAACTACTGATCAACAAAAGAAACCTAAATTTAGAAGCCAGGAATGTGTGTGTGTGTACTCACCTATTTGTGGTTGCAAGGGTCGAGTCATAGCTCCTGGCCTCACCTCTTCACTGATCGCTACTTCGCTACTAGGTCACTCTCTCCTTGCTTCATGAGCTTTATCATACCTCGTCTTAAAACTATGTATGGTTCCTACCTCCACTACGTCGCTTTCCAGACTATTCCACTTCCTGACAACTCTATGACTGAAGCATAATGTGTGTGTGTGTGTGTGTGTGTGTGTGTGTGTGTGTGTGTGTTTTTGTGTGTGTAATCACCTGTATGTGGTTGCAGGGGTCGAGTCATAGCTTCTGGCCCCGCGACCCAGTCCCAGACCAAGCCTCTCATTTGATGACCTGATTAATTTAGCTGTTGGTGTAACCACACACAGTCCAACGTACGAGCCACAGCCCGGTTGATCAAGAACTGATTTCAGGAGTTCATCAAGTTGAAGACAGCCAGGTGTATGTTGGTAACTTACCTAAGTATGAGGGAAGTACTGAAAAGTCTAGACCTCCTTACACTCATTAAGTTATCTCTCAGTGCACTATAAACACCTCTGCTCTTCACTGGAAGCATTTTGCACTGTCTGAGGAGTGAAATTAGTCTTGCTTTCAAAGGACTAATTTCAGTGTGCAGATTTGGGATCAATTCCTCCAGAATTTTAGAATTTTACAGGGGGAAATTACAATGTAGCTTTCTCGCCTACGTTCCAGAGAATACAGATCGAGGGAGTTAGGCATTCCTAATAAATTAGGTATTTGACTGAATTTATAAGAGAAGTAAAAAGTTATTTCTGCATTCTCCAGATCTGCAATTTCGTCTGCATTAAAAGGTGGCTGTTAGTAGTGTACAGCGATATTCTAGCCTTGAGAGATATCACACACAACACTCCAATAGGACAACTACACATAACACTTCCAATAGATAACATCACACACTCCCACAAGATAACATCAAACACAACACACACACACACACAAAGATAATATCACATATAATACAACCATGAGATAATACTACATAACACTAAAACAAGATAACATCGCAGACAACGCATCCATAAGAGATAATATGACACACAATACAGCACAAGATAATACCCCACATAAAGCTACACACACACACCATACCCACAAGATAACATCACACACAAGATGACAGCACACTCACAAGATGACAGCACCTTCACAAGATGACAGCACACTCACAAGATGACATCACACTCACAAGATGACATCACACTCACAAGATGACAGCACAATCAGATGACATCACACTCACAAGATGGCAGCACAATCACAAGATAACATCACACTCACAAGATGACAGCACAATCACAAGATGACATCACACTCACAAGATAACAGCACACTCACAAAATGACATCACATTCACAAGATAACACACTCACAAGATAAAAGCACACTCACAAGATAACAGTATACTCACAAGATAACAGCACACTCACAAGATAACAGCATACTCACAAGATAACAGCACACTCACAAGATAACAGTATACTCACAAGATAACAGTACACTCACAAGATAAAAGCACACTCACAAGATAACAGCACACACATAGGATAACAGTACACTCATAAGATATCACACAAGATAACAATATACTCATAAGATAACGGCACACACATACGATAGCAGCACACTCACAAGATATCACACAAGATAACAGTACACTCAGATAACAACACACACACAAGATAACAGCATACATATTGTATAACAGCACACTCACAAGATATCACACAAGATAACAGTATACTCACAAGATAACAGCACACATATAGGATAGCAGCACACAAGCTAACATCACACAAGATAACGGTATACTCACAAGATAACATCACACAACAGCACTCACACTGGATAACAGGCCCATACATCCAGTAACTGACAGTAAATAACATGCCGTGCTTTAAAGCAACAATTATCTCTTAAAATAGTTTCGTAATGTGTTTTCCTTCAACAGCACATCAACTGCCTCGTTCGTTGTTACTCTCTCTCTCTCTCTCTCTCCTGTTTGTTTCAGCAGGAAAGAGACCAGGAACAAGATAACTGGTGTCTAGAGATCCAGTTATCAGAGGTCGCTAATATCACTCTCCTTCCAGCTACCTGATGATCAAGCCAGTGCTTCAATAACCAGAATTACCAGTATTACTAACCCAACCACCTGGTGATCAAGCCAGGTCTTCAATAATCAAAGGTTACCAGTATTACTCTCTCAGCCACCTAGTAATCAAGCCAAGGCAGGTCAGGACTTTAATAACTCATGAGAATTATGAAAATGTGATAATTAAATCGACTAATGATGCCCGAGGGAAATTTGATAAAGTAGATGAGATAATGTTTAGTTAATTGTTAAGTAATTAAGGTGTGTGCAGCGGTGCAGAGTGTGAAAGTTTTTATAACTCTGGTGGTGAGTGGTTGTTGTGGTGGTGGTGGTGGTTGTGGTGGTTGTTCCTGTGGTTGTGGTGGTTATTACTGTGGTTGTGGTGATTACTGTGGTTGTGGTGGTAGCTATTACTGTGGTTTGTGGTGGTGGTAGCTATTACTGTGGTTTGTGGTTGTTACTGTGGCTGTGGGTGTTACTGTGGTTGTGGTTGTTACTGTGGTTGTGGTGGTGATTACCGTGGTTGTGGTGGTGGTTGTTACTGTGGTTGTGGTAGTTATTACTGTGGTTGTGGTGGTCACTGTGGTGGTGGTGGCTGTTACTGTGGTTGTAGTGGTGGTTATTACTGCGGTTGTGGTGGCGGTTGTTACTGTGATTGTGGTAGTGATTACAGTGGCTGTGGTGGTTGTTACTGTGATTGGGGTGGTGGTTATTACTGTGGTTGTGGTGGTGGTTGTTACTGTGGTTGTGGTGGTGATAGTGGTTGTTACTGTGGTTGTGGTGGTGGCTATTACTGTGGTGATAATGGTTATTACTGTGGTGGTGGTGACAGTGGTTGTTCCTGTAGTGGTGGTGACAGTGGTTGTTCCTGTAGTGGTGGTGACAGTGGTTGTTACGGTGGTGGTGGTGATAGTGGTTGTTCCTGTAGTGGTGGTGGTGATAGGTTGTTCCTGTGGTGGTGGTCGTGGTGACAGATGGTCCTGTAGTGGTGGTGGAAGTGGTAGTTTTGAGAAAGATGTATACAGATTCTGGACCAAACTAGGAAAGACAGACACCCAAGTATGAACCAAAGACTGAGGATATACAAAGGAATGGGCGGGGAGTGTCACCGTTGTACAAGAATGGTATACAATACCGACAAGATGAAACTAAGACATATGTGCAACATCTGGGTATCTTTATTGTAGACGTTTCGCCATCCAGTGGCTTTATCAATACAAATTCCAGGACATAACTTGAAGACAGTACCAGTGACTATGCCCTCGTCTGCTACACGTCCCGTTTCCACCTGACGTTAGTATAAAAGCGCCAGGCTCCTTGTTTCTGCTTCAGAATCTACACGACTACGGTGCTCTTCGCACCAACTCCAAGGCTGAGGGACTGATTACCTCATTTTCTGTATATAGTTCTACTGTCTTCAAGTTATGTCCTGGAAGTTGTATTGATAAAGCCACTGGATGGCGAAACGTCTACAATAAAGATACCCAGATGTCGCATATGTGTCTTAGTTTCAACAGTGTCACCGTTGTTGACACAAGTACAGTAGCAGTCCCAATACTGCATGAAACACAGTTCGAGTCTCCATCCGTTCATTACGACTTAAACTGGGTTTATACAAACATAAGTATGGACGCTGAAAAAATTAGACACGTGCAAAATCTGGGTATTCTTTTTTTTTTTTGTAGACGTTTCGGCATTCATTGGCTTTATAAGAACATAAGAAAGGAGGAACAACGCAATAGGCCTGTTGGCCCATACTCGGCAGGTCCTTCACAAATATAAATTAAAGGACATAATCGGAAGACAGTAAAACTATACACAAAAAATGCGGCAATCAGTCCCTCAGCCTACAACCATTTATATGACAAAAGATGTACTTACGAGGGCTGGCCAGAGGACTGGTGAGGCGCGGATCTTGTTGGGGTGCTTGCGGGAGGCCCAGGCGAGGGTACGCTCCAGCAGGAAGATCTGGAACACCTGACCTCTGTACACGTGCACCCACTCTCGTCTCTGCCACTCCACGTCGTCATATTCCACCAGAACCTGCAATATAAAAAGAACATAAGAAAGGGGAACACTGCAGCAGGCCTACTGGCCCCTACTAGGCAAGTCCTTCTCAAATCCAAACCCACTGACAAAAATATTTGCCAACCCATTGTGTACCTATTAACTCGTGTGCAAATCCCACTCAAATCCAAAGCCTCTCACTCATGTATTTAACCCAAATTTGAAGCTACCCAGGGTTTCTGGTTCAATGACCCTACTAGGCAAACTGTTCCACTCATCGACTATTCTATTTACAAACTAAAAATTTCCTATATCCTTTCTAAATCTAAACTTATCCAGTTTGAGTCCATTATTTCGAGTTTTAGTAAAGAGCCATACAAATAACCCGCACATAGGAGAGAGAAGCTTATGACGACGTTTTGGCCCGACTTGGACCATTTACAGATCTGTAGATGAATGGTTCAGAGAACCGACAAGTTGATAAATTAGACACATATGCAACACACGGTATTGTTCCTTTTTGAGAATTAGACACATACCTGGAGTCTACCTGGAGGGAATTCCGGAGATCAACGTCCCCGCGGCCCGGTCCACGACCAGGCCTCCCGGTGGATCAGGGTCTGATCAACGAGGCTGTTACTGCTGGCCGCACGTAATCCAACATACGAACCACAGCCCGGCTGATCCGGCACCGTCTTTAGGTATCTGTCCAGCTCCCTCTTGAAGACAACCAGGTGTTTTCCCGTAATGCCCCTTATTGCTGGTGGGAGGCTGTTGAACATCTGGGTACGTTAGGTAAAAGGACACAAGTGCAACTAATATGACATTTTATTGTGGCGAAGTTTCGCTCTCCAGGAGCTTTATCAAGCCGGCTTGACAAAGCTCCTAGAGAGCGAAACGTTGCCACGATAAAATGTCACATTAATTGCACTTGTGTCCTTTCACCTAACATACTTGGTAATTCTACCAACATTAATACATCTGGGTATCTTTACTGTAGACGTTTCGCCATCCAGTGGCTTTATCAATACAAATTCTAGGACATAATTTGAAGACAGAACTGATGTTGCGGTGTCTAACACTAACATCATGGAATCTTGGTTCAGAGGACATCTACATAACCTTCTTCATGGCTACTACTACTACTATCCCTCATCTTTTGTATATCGTTCTACTGTCCTAGAATTTGTACTGATAAATCCGCTGGATGGCGAAACGTCTACAATGAAGATACCCGGATGCTGCATATGTGTCTAATTCTCATCTTGTCTGTATTGTATACCATTCATGTACATTGTTCCTTTTTGTTCTTTGCAAACATTACCTTATGCTTATCTAGACCAGACCTCCTGGATGTTTATCCGATAGATTAGGATGTCGCTGCTGACCTTCACAGCCTGAGACCAGATTTACTTACTGGCCCGTATAAATCTTGGTAATAAATACCGTCAAGCTGGTTTGGAAAAACACGTAAAGAAACACTAGGACATATTAGAAAACGTTTCAGTCCTGGGACCTTGATCACTTCTAGGTCCTAGAACTGAAACGTTTTTTATGTCCTACTGTTTACTTACGTGTTTTTCTAAACCAACTTACTGCCCTCCCCTAGTCAACTAGGCTGTTGGTGCAAGCGTCACGCAGTCCCGCATAGCCATCACAACACGGTTAATCAGTTACTCGCTTCAGATAGTGGTCAAGTTACCTCCTGAAAATTCCTACCTGAGCCACATATCATCATATAGCACATATGTTACTGTACTGGGTGGGACAGTAAGCCAGGGAAGGACCTCGGTCAAATGACTGAGTTTCGCTGGGCAACCCATCAATATTATTATATCAAATGGTGTATACAATCATGGGGGAGTGCTAAACCCGTAGGATTATACAGCGCCTGGGGGGGGGAAGGTATTCAGGCTCAGTTCAGGGAACCGGAGCACAGATCCAATTCCCTAGATCAAGAGTCCCTCACCAGCGTCAAGGAACCTCCTTTGAGGGGCAAGCCATTAATAACCCATTTCAGGGGAAACGTGTGCATTTCTCCTGACAAACAAAATACCACACCAACCTGCACAAAGTTTCCAGAGAGATATCCAGATATTTATTTTGATTGTAGTAAAAAGCAAAAAGAAAAACAAAAACGATACTCGGGAGAACGTGGTAGCGAGGTACAGGCGCTGACTGCCTGTGTAAACATTAATCTTGTGTTGCCTGCATGCCTCACGCACCGTGGGGGTTCTTCCCAGGATGCCTCCCACAACACTTGGCTAACGCCCAGGCACTTTCTTATGTAAACAGGGGCAGTAGGTATCAGGAAACTTGTCTAGAAGTCTCACCAAGGTAACACCTAGGAACATATTTACAACTAGGTCAACTAGAGCCTTAGGTATTAAAGAGACTTGGTATAAACGTTGATAATAGATACCGACAAATTGGTTTAGAAAGACACGAACAAACACTAGGACATATTTAGAAAACGTTTCGGTCCTGGGATCTTGATCCCTTATCCATTCATCTCACTTCCTCCCAGGATTGAACCTGGATCCCTCAGTTGTGTGCCGAATGCGCTACTATTGAGTTATGAGTACCCAACCAATGGTTAATACGTTAAAGGTAATAATATTAAGTGGTGATGATTCAGCGAGTCTGGTGTATGCCAAGGGACAGCAGGATGACGAAGCAGCAGCTGCACAATGCAACTGCTGCAGCAAAACAATGCTTGAGATCAAGAAGACCCGCTCTCCGGGTAAGGAGTGCCTTGTCATTCTTCCCACAATGCTGACTCGGCAACTTGCCATTTTTAACTTGCCACAAATGTTCCGTCTGCAGAAAATGGGGCTCTCAATGGCAGGCGAAATTCCTACGTGACTATAAAAGACATCAAGTTAGTTTGAGCGCTGGACTGCGGACGTTGAGCACCTCCACGACCCGCCTCACCTCTGTCAACATGACTTTGTACTCTGGCTCCTCCACAAAACCTATTTTTCTTCAGCTTCAACAACAACACTGCGATTTCTCCGGATTTTTCCTTTTGTATCCAATCCCATTGTTGATTCGCATCAGCTGATCTAGTATTTTTACAGACAAAACTAACTTCTGCTTGTTAATTCTAGTTTTTTCGGAACTTACGGTGAACTGACTAACTAGTCTGATGTGCCTCAGAGTTATGTCAGGTAAGCAACAACAGCCTTGCAAGAATTTTGACTTAGTGGTTTTTTGAAAACTTTTCACCTATAGGAGAGGGGAAGGGAATAACCTCAAAGGCGGGGAGTGGAGGTTTGCCTGGAATTACAAAAGAGGGGGTTCACTTGACAGGTGAGGGTGCTCACTTGACAGGAGAGGGGGTTCACTTGATAGGAAAGGGGGGTTTCACTTGACAGGAGAGGGAGGTTTCACTTGACAGGAGAGGGGGGTTTCACCTGACAGGAGAGAGAGGTTTCACTTGACAGGACAGGGGGGTTTCACTTAACAAGAGAGGGGGTTCATCTGGCAGAATTTTTTTTATACTGAACAAAATTAGATACATCAACAGTGTGCTGCTACAAGATAGCTAACAGTGAGAACAAAAATTAACTATATCTTCCCTTCATATAACATCACGCAGTATAGGGCTCTTACAAGGTGTTGAAATATGTAACCTTGAACTTGAGATTTCAGATTTCTTTTTTATATAGTTCTATTTTCCCACTGTCCTTGAATTTATATTGATAAAGTAACTGGATGGCGAAACGTCTACAAATAAAGATACTCAGATGTTGCACATGTCTAATTCCTCACGTTTTATGCTACCCCCATATGTAGCTTTCTGATGGGAACAGATCACAGACCTGAGAAGGTCTCAGGCTATCTTGGGTATCCCGCAGCTCGATCGCTAGCGCACTCAACTCACACACTGTGGTCCGGGGGTCGATCCCCGGTACGGGTGGAAACAGGACGTGTTTCCTTAAGACACCTCCTGTCTAGTATTCACCCATCAGTAAAATAGGTACCTGGGTGTTAGCTGACTGGTGTGGGTCACAAATTCACCTAATTTACCCGAAATGCTGTGCATAACAAGGGGGCTTTCTATAGAGTAGTATGTCACTGATGTCAGCTAGACCTGTACACCTTGTACACGTACTTGTACAAATAAAGATTACCTATGTTTTCTTGTCTATCAGAGGTGATATCCTTCAACAGGATGGTATTAACCTGACGGATGGAAGATCAAGCCTTCACCACTACTTGTGCTAAATGACAAATTAAAAATTCATTGACACAAAAAGACGTAGCGTCTTTATCAATGTCCAGACAAATGAAATACAAAAGCCTTTGTCCTGTGTACTTTTCGTGTCATTTTTAACTTTTAATGCCTATTATGATGTTTCTGGTGTCTATTTTGTAAGTAGGACTTTCAAGTCCTTGGAGTCACAGAAGATTATGTTCAAAATGGTATAAAATAATGAAAAGTTGATGATTAAGACATGTGCAACAGTTGGGTATCTTTACTGTTGAAACGTTTCGCCTCCACATGTGTCTTAATCATCACAGAAAATTACCCCTCTTCCTATGTCTTTTTAATATGGTAGAGGGTAGTCTCAGTGTAGCCAGCTCTGCTGGTACTGAAATGAGCTAGTTGCCCGATCTCATGCTGACAGTCTTGGGGATGGAGGGGAGAGAGTCACCTGGCAGGAAAGGCCACCCAGGTAATAAGAACATCTCGACAACATGCTCCATCAGTCTACTTAATGACAACATACTCCATCAGTCTACTTAACGACAACATGCTTCATCAGTCTACTTAATGACAACGTACTCCATCAGTCTACTTAACGACAACATACTCCAGTCTACTTAACAACATACTCCACCAGTCAATCTGTCAAAAAAAAAAAAAAAAATAAACACTATACCAGCCAATCAATTGGACTGTGATAATAATAATAAAACGTTGTATTAAGAGAGAGAGGCTGCAGGGAGACCAGCCTCCCTCCCAAGCAAGAGACCAAAAACTGGTTTCAAGAGAGCTTGAAATATACCGGTGAATCTTGTTATTGTAATAACATAGTAGTCTAGCTGACTTTTACCAACCGGTCGTAAGACTGGTCGCGGTGCACAGCCATAGTTAAGTGTGGTTGTATGTCACAGTTAAGTGTGGTCGTACGTCACAGTT